GGCAAATGCAGGTGTGCACTATAGCATGGCGAGACTAGTCGAGAGGCGGAGGGAAGGAGGGAGGTAGGGAGAGGAGAGGGGGAAAGGAGGGGAGAGGGGTGGGAAGAGGGAAGGAAAGGGGAAGGGGGGGAGAGAGAGAGGAGGGAGGGGTGGGAGGGAAGGGAGGGGAAGGGGGAGGGAGAGGAGAGGGGAAGGGAGAGGAGAGGGAGGGGAAGGGGGAGGAAGAGGAGAGGAGAGGAGAGGGGTGGGAAGAGGGAAGGGGGAGCGAGGGAGGGAGAGAGGGGGGAGGGAAAGAGAGAGAGAGAATGGGAGATAGTGTTATCATCATTTATGTCATCATCACTGCCACCACCACGATTTTTACCATCAGCACCACCTTCATCATAATCACTACTATCACCATAATAACAAATATATGTATATATATATATATATATATATATATATATATATATATATATATATATATATATATATATATATATATATATATGTATATAAATGTGTGTGTGTGTGTGTGTAGACTATTTATTCTTTATCTGTTCGTTTGTTTCCCCTCCGTCTTCCGTTGTTTCTAGCTGTCCATATTAATACAGCTATTAAAATGACATTTTATACATATATCTGTAAAGTTGACATACGTGTCTACGAAACCATTTCAAGACTATTTTATCACAAATAACTGATTTATTCCCGAGAAAAAACAAAAACAAAAAAAAAAACATGTATTTATAGATAATTACTACACACTCATCATTTTTCTCACAATTCATGAATCAAAGAGTTTTTCGAAATGGAAATATGAAATTTTCTAACTCATAATTCACGCTGCAATTGCAAACGTGGGAAATGCATCCTTTACCATAACAGTGTTATAACCTTTTTTTTTATGGACTTCACACTGAACGTCATCGAGATAAGTTTTTTTATTTATTAATTTTTTTTTAATATGTTGGTTATTTATGAGTTAATAGATTTTCCTAATGGGTTTTAACGGTGATGAGATGGCATTTTTATGTCGTTATTATTAGCATTACCATTATCATCATTATCATCATCATCGTTAATATGACTAAGTATTCTAATAAAGACATGTTGATTTTCCTCATGTTTGATTTTCATGATTCTCGTATATTTAGCATGTGTATAAAAGTTCTTTCATGACACTACAGCATTTTTAACTCGTGTGTGTATATATATATATATATTTTTTTTTTTTCAATTTTTTTTTCTTTTTAATTCCATAATTTTAGCTCAGAGTTTTTTTGTTTTTGTTTTTTTGATATTGATAATGATTTACTTAAGGATTTTGAAATTAATTTATACTCGATGTTACTCGGGTTATTACTGATGTTTTTTTGTTTTGTTTTTTTATCCGAATAGGTTGAAGTGAACCGCTTTCTTGCGCGAAGATTTTAAGGGATCTGGCGACAATTTGAGTAAACGTCTTTAAGGTAAGTTTAAAGCGGGATTTTTTTTTTGAAGGGTTGCGTGAATAAGTGTTTATGTATATACATACATATATACATATATAAATATGACTGCATACATGTATATATATATATATATATATATATATATATATATATATATATATATATATATATATATATATATATATATGTATATATATATATATATATATATGTATATATATATATATATATATATATATATATATATATATATATATATATATATATATATATATATGTATGTATATCTGTGTGTGTGTGTGTGTGTGTGTGTGTGTGTGTGTGTGTGTGTGTGTGTGTGTGTGTGTGTGTGTGTGTGTGTGTTGTATGTATATATGTATGTGAGCATATATATATATATATATATATATATATATATATATATATATATATATATATATATATATATATACATATACATATATATATATATATATATATATATATATATATATATATATATATATATATATATATATATATGTATGTATGTATGCATGTATGTATATTCTTATTCAGTCATATTTATATATGTATATATGTATGTATATACATAAACACTTTTGAGTGTGCGTGTGTACTACATATATATTTATCCATTCAAACGTGTCCCAACACGCCGGAGGAATGAAATAATTGGCCGCGACCTCGTCTTGTTCAATCCCGTCCTCTTCTGTTGTGAGTAAAAGCCTCCGAGTCAAGAACAGCTGATGTAGCAAGGAAATGACAGACGTGGAGTTCATGTTGCTCTCTCTCTCTCTCTCTCTCTCTCTCTCTCTCTCTCTCTCTCTCTCTCTCTCTCTCTCTCTCTCTCTCTCTCTCTCTCTCTCTCTCTCTCTCTCTCTCTTTATCTTTCTCTTTCTCTCTTTCTTTCTCTCTCTCTCTCTCTTATCTCTCATCTCTCATCTCTCATCTCTCATCTCTCATCTCTCATCTCTCATCTCTCATTTCTCTCTCTCTCTCTCTCTCTCTCTCTCTCTCTCTCTCTCTCTCTCTCTCTCTCTCTCTCTCTCTCTTTATCTTTCTCTTTCTCTCGTTCTCTCTCTCTCTTTCTCTCTCTTATCTCTCATCTCTCATCTCTCATCTCTCATCTCTCATCTCTCATTTCTCTCTCTCTCTCTCTCTCTCTCTCTCTCTCTCTCTCTCTCTCTCTCTCTCTCTCTCTCTCTCTCTCTCTCTCTCTCTCTCTCTCTCTCTCTCCCTCTACTTTCTCCCTCTCTCTTTCTCCCTCTCTCCCTCTACTCTCTTTCTCTCTCTCTCTACTCTCCATTCTCTCTCTCTCTCTCTCTCTCTCTCTCTCTCTCTCTCTCTCTCTCTCTCTCTCTCTCTCTCTCCCTCTACTTTTTCCCTCTCTCTCTCTCCCTCTCTCCCTCTACTCTCTCTCTCTCTCTCTCCCTCTCTCTCTCTCTCTCTCTCTCTCTCTCTCTCTACTCTCTCTCCCTCTCTCTCTCTCTCTCTCTCTCTCTCTCTCTCTCTCTCTCTCTCTCTCTCTCTCTCTCTCTCTCTCTCTCTCTCTCTCTCTCTCCCCCTCTACTCTCTCCCTCTCTCCCTCTCTCCAAACTGTGAAGCTTATAATTAAAAAACGAGGAGGGGATATTTAGTGTTCCGATTGCATTTAGAGGGTACAGTGAAGCAATTGTAATGTAAGGATGTGGTTAGGATTGTGATGACAGCCATGATGGTGATGATGACGTGGGCGATGATTGTGATGCACTGATGATGACAATGATAATGTGGTAGTGGTGATGTCCTGGTGATGATGTGGTAGTGGTGATGTCCTGGTGATGATGTGGTAGTGGTGATGTCCTGGTGATGATGTGGTAGTGGTGATGTCCTGGTGATGATGTGGTAGTGGTGATGTCCTGGTGATGATGTGGTAGTGGTGATGTCCTGGTGATGATGTGGTGATGAGATATATATTTTTAAAATAATTTTATATGTTTATATTTTTTGTTTTGTTTTGTTTTTATCCTGTATTGGAGTGTTTGTTGTTTTGTTATTTTGGTTGATGTTTTATCAGGCAAATGTGGAAGATGTAAGAGGTAAAATGATAAAATTACTTGGAAATACGTTGTTTTTATATATCCGTGTTTATACTGCGAAAAAAAACATGTTACGCACACACAAGCTAACACGTAAATACACGCACACACACGCAAGCAAGCACACACACTCACACACACACACACACACACACACACACACACACACACACACACACACACACACACACACACACACACACACACACACACACACACACACACACACACACACACACACACACACACACACAGGTCAGAGCTCAAAGAGAATGATAATGGAAAGTTGCAGCTGAGAGGAAATTGAAGAGGAAAGATTCTCGACGGAATGAGAAATGGGAACTGGCGAACGAAGGAATTAAAAGAAAAGAGAAGATTAACAGACGGAAGGGAAAAAACGAAACAGAAAATGGAGAAGGAGAGAAAGGGAGAGGGAGCTAGAGAGAGAAACAGAGAGAGAGAGAGGGAGATAGATAGATAGAGATAGAGAGAGGGAGATAGATAGATAGAGAGAGGGGAGAGAGAGAGAGAGAGAGAGAGAGAGAGAGGGAGAGAGGGGAGAGAGAGAGAGAAGAGAGAGAGAGACCAGATACACCCTGATAGAGTCCATGATGCTCTCTCTCTCTCTCTCTCTCTCTCTCTCTCTCTCTCTCTCTCTCTCTCTCTCTCTCTCTCTCTCTCTCTCTCTCTCTCTCTCTCTCTCTTCCTTATTTACTATTTTCCCCTTCCCCTTCCTTCCCTTCCTTTCCCCTCTCTCCCACTCGTCCCTCTGATAAAAAAAGAAATGAAAATACTAATATACGAAACTAAGAAAAAAAAGAAAAGAAAAGAAAATTATTTGACATTAATCTAAGACAGTGTAACACAAGAATCTAAACTAATAATAAGTTAATCCTAAATCCTAAAAGCAATAGATGAATAGATGAAATAAAAAAAAAAACATTGGCCTGTGCGGTCAAGCAGTCAGGTGCTTATAGATTAATGGATTTATTATAGATCTTTTATGGATGTATTGTGGATTTCGTTCAGTCTCTCTCGTGTATATTGTTGCTGCTGTGGTTGTACTTGAAGCTTTACCTGATTCTGTAGGATGGCAGGATGGTAGGATCTCGCTCTCTCGTTTTTCTTTGGTTCAGTGCTTTGTGCAAATTTAATTCGTGGTTGTGTGTCGGTGTGTATGGATGCGTATTATACTTATATGTATTGTTATTATTATTGTTTTTTTTTGAAGTGTATCACATTGGTTATTCGTTGGATATTGAGCATCATAGACCTATCCCCCCTCCCTCCCCCCCTTCGCAATAGGCCACGCATGTCCCCCCCCCCCTGTTTCCCCTCCCCCCCTCGCGGCGGCAGGTGGAGCGCGGGCGAGCGCGGGTGCGAGCGAGCGCCGCGCCGCCAGCCAATGAGCGCCGAGGAGCCGCGCTCGCTCGCATCCCAGCCTCCCCGCGAGAGATCATTCACAGTGTGACACACGCCGGCGGGGAAGGCGGTGCGCGGCTCCTCGAGAACGCTGTGTCGACGCTCTCTCGTTCCAGCGGTCGCTTCGCTGCGCCCGACACACCGCACCCCGGGAACGCGTTCGTTTCTCCTCCGGCGTGAGTGCCTTGTTGCCAGGGGGGTGCGCTGACGGCGAGCCAGTGACACCTGACGGAGGCAGAGCATGGCCCTCGCCTCGCTGTTGGCACGGGAGGAACTGTCCCGCTGTGCAGGCGCCCTGTGAGTCACTCTGTCGGCCACCCTGCCGCCCGAACCCCTTCCAGGAGACGAAGGGATTAAAAAAAAAAAAAACGAAAATAAAAATCAGGTGTTTCCGCCCTGATTCCTCGATCATTCGATCCTTTGCTCATTTCCCTCTATTTCCTGTGAAATACTCGCGTGGGAATTATGGTGACGCGATAAAGAGCAGAAAAAAATCTAAAAAAAAATAATAATAATAATAAAAATAAAAATAAAATACATATATATATATCAATTTTAACTGAAAAAAATAAGAGAGAGAGAGAGAGAGGGAAAACAAGAAAAATATATTCGAGACTAATCCGTGTGCTAAGTGGATTCTGTGGATGTATAACCTTTAGTGCGCTTGGCCTTTCAAATAGATCAACCCTGATATATATGTGTGAGCGCGGAGTGTGGAGGTAATTCAGCATATAGGTTAATGGTGTCATTATTTCCAGTTGGTGCACCGGCGGAAGATAAATTTTGATAACAGTAAAGTTCAGAATATCATTACCTAAAAAAAAAAAGAAAGAAAAAAAATGTATAGACACATTGGATAAGGTCGAACACGGTGTGCGACAAAGAATGGTTATCCATTTAGTCATACGTGGTGAACCGTTCGTGAAATTTGCATCTAACTGAGCGCTTTCCCTGTTGCAGCTGTTGAATGATGTCAGAATTATAAGTGCAGCTGAAACGACTGATATTTAACAGCTATTGGAAGGCAGTATCAACAATTCTTTTATAACACAGTTGTTAAATGATGTCAAAATTATAAGTGCAGCTGAAACGACTCTTACTGAATAGCTATTGAAGTCTGTCATTATGATATAGTGCAGTTCCGACGCGTCTTTATAATACAGCTGTTGAAGTGAAGCTGAAAAAAGCCTTTTTACTTCACGGCTGTTAAGTGTGGGAAAAATCACAGGAGCAATACTTATAACCGGGAATCTCTGTTTCTGTTGCAATTTTTTTTTTAATCTGATTGCACGGTAAGCTTTTATAGCGTTGTAAAAAAATCGGTTTAGTACAATGTTGCAAGGGACGTTGCAGCGTGCAATCGAGTCTCCCTGTGATGGCTTTGTGATTGGGATCTTATGCGTGTGAGGTGATGGAAAGAAGGGTGCAGTGAGGAAGAAGAGAAAGAGAAGAAAGGAGGAAGAAAAGAAAAAGGAAGAAAGGAGGAAGAAAGGGAAAAGGAGAGGAATAAGCAGGAGGAAGAAAAGAAAAAGGATTAGTGGAAAGAAGGAGGTAAGGAAAGAGAGAGGAAGGAAGGAAGGAAGAGAGGAATTGGTGAAAGGAAGGGAAGAAAAGGAAGAAAGGAAGAGAAAGAGGGGGGCAGTAGAAAGAAGGGAGGAATGAGTGAATAGAAAAGAAAGGAATCAGATAAAAAGAGGAAAAAAAAATCAGTGAGAAGAGAGGAAGGAGATAGGATAGAAAGATAAAGAAAGGGAGAAAAAGGGAAGGAAGAAGAGATAAGATAAAGAGAGAAAGGGAAACTGGAAGGAAGCAAATAAAGGGAGGGAGAAAAGGAGGACAAGAACAAGGGAAGGAGGCTGTAGGAAGATAAAGGACGGAATTAGGGAGAATAAAAGAGAAAAAGGAACTAGAGAAACGAAAATAGAGAAAGGAACGAGGGAGAAGGAAAGAGAAAAAGGGAGAATAAGAGAGAGGAAAAGAAAGGAAGGAAACAGGGAGAAGAAAAGTGAAAAAAGGAAGAATAAGAGAGAGGAAAAGAAAGGAAGGAAACAGTGAGGAGGAAAGAGAATAAGGGAGAATAAGAGAAAGGAAAATAAAGAAAGGAACCCGGGAGAACAAAGAATAACAACAACAACAACAGATAAATAAATAAACAGAGGAAGAGCGAGCGCCGCGGGGTGTGAACCGGCCTCCACCCCCCACCCCCCACCCCTCCACCCCCACACCCCCACCCCCACACCCCCACCAGGAGAGGAGAGTCCGCGCCGCCGAGGAGAGATAAATGTCAGAAAGCGGAGGAGTTCCGGAATGCTGCTCCTTCCGAAGAGGCCTTCCGTCCAGCTGAACGCCACGCCTCCTTCTCCTTCGTCTTCTCCTTCGTCTTCTTCTCCTTCGTCTTCTTCTCCTTCGTCTTCTTCTTTGTCTTCTTCTTTGTCTTCTTCGTCTTCTTCTTCTTCGTCTTCTACCTCTCCTTCGTCTTCTCCTTCGTCCTCTCCTTCTTCGTTTTCTTCATCTTCGTCTTCTACCTCTTCTTCTCCTTCTTCGTCTTCTCCATCTCCTTCTCCCTCTTCTTCTTCTTCTCCATCTCCTCCTTCGGTCTTCCGCGTCGCCGTCGGGAAGCGAGGGCGCGGCTTCGGGTCCCTCGTGGAGGCGGGCGAGGAAGGCCTCCTGAAGGTCCCTCGGTTTGCGGGGAAACCGACGGCGGCGTGAGTGCTTCATCGTCGGAAGGTAAGGTGTGGGGGTGGGAGTGGGGGAGTTGAGGGGGGGTGGGGGGGAGTGGGGGGTTAGTGGGGAAGTTGGAAGGGGGGGAGTGGAGTGGGGATGTTGGAGGGGGTGGGGAAGTTGGGAGGGGGGGGTGGAGCAAGGAGGGCGAGTGGGGAAGTTAGGGGAGGGGGGTGGGGGAATTGGGGGAGGAGTGGGGTTGGGGAGAGTGGGGAAGTTGGGGGAGGGGTGGAGGAAGGAGGGGAGTTGGGGGGAGTTAGAAATGGGGAGGAATTGGGGGAGAGAGTTGGGGGAATAGGGGAGTTGAGGGGGAGGGGGGAGGGGAGGGGGATAGGATGGGTATAGTGGGGGAGTGGGGGAGTTGAGGAGTTAATGGGAGAGAGAGAGAAAAAAAAAAATGAACGTGAAACAGAAAGAGAAAGAGAAAGAGCGAGAGAAAAAGAAGGAAAAGGAGAAACGCAGAGAGAGAGAGAGAGAGAGAGAGAGAGAGAGAGAGAGAGAGAGAGAGAGAAAGAGACAGCAAGAGAGAGAGAAAGCAAGCGAGAAAGAGAAAGAGAAAGCAAGAGAGAAAGAGAAGAGAAAGAGAAAGAAAAGACGAGAGAGAGAACGTGAAAGAGAAAGCGAAAGAGAAAGAGAAGAGAACGAGAGCGAGAGAGAAAGAGAAGAGAACGAGAGCGAGAGAGAAAGAGAAAGCAAGAGAGAGAGAGAGAGAGAGAGAGAGAGAGAGAGAGAGAGAGAGAGAGAGAGAGAGAGAGAGAGAGAGAGGGAGAGAGAGAGAGAAAGAAAAAGAGAAAGCGAAAAAGAAAGCAAGAAAGAGAGAGAGAGAGAGAGAAGAGAAAGAGAGAGAGCGAGAGCGAGCGAAAGGGATGTGCCTCTTTATGCCTGAACAGTAAGCTGCGGATATCAAACACAGGAAGATTGGCAACCATTTTGATGTTGTCGCTTTGTTTTCAAAATAAATAGATGAAATAAATTAATTAAAAACCGTAACGAGGATGCCATTTTGTGTGTTTGATTTGATTTGTTTATGTTGTTTTTGTTTTTTCTAATTATTATTATTTTTTTTAATTGAGCCTTTTCGGTGGGAAAGGGATTGTTAATCGAAGGTAAATTAGAGTTTTGTTGTATGTTTTTTTTTTTTTTTTTTTTTTTTTTTTTTTGGGGGGGGGGGTTGGATATATTTTACTTTTTCAGTGTTATTATTTTTTGTTGTTTATTTTTTAAAGTATATATATATATATATATATATATATATATATATATATGTATATATATATTTTTTTTTTGGGGGGGGGGAGGTTCAGTATTATTTTTTGAATTTATATATATATATATATATGTATAGATAGATAGGTAGATATTTTTAATTTTTTTATTTATCTATTTTTTTTCGAATTGGTTGTGTTTTTGTCTTGGTTTGCTTAACTTTTTATTCTCGTTATGATCGGGTTGTGAGTTATAGTTGCATAAACCTAACTTTACAAAGCATGTATATCAATTGATAGATAGATAGATAGATAGATAGATAGATAGATAGATAGATAGATAGATAGATAGGTAGGTAGGTAGGTAGGTAGATAGATTTTTTCTTTTTTCTTTTCTTTTTTTAATAAGTCAGTTGTTCATAAACGATTATGAATCACTCAAGAATCTCAAAGAGTGTTTGGCTACATTCATAATTTTAAAATATGGCGTTGGCTGACGAGAATAAATCTTAACTGTACGAAGCATTATTTCTTAACGATTAAAAATCACTCAAGAATAACAAGAATATATAGCTGTGGGAGTTAAGAATTTTTAAAAATACGGCGTCTATTCTCACTAGTTTTCGATCTTGAGTGAACTATACATTTAGATTATATCAGGTGGATTTTTGAGGATTTGGGCAAGAACGTGTTTACATATGTATATAGATTGGGGGATAGATAGATAAATAGATGGGGAGGGAGAGGAAAAGAGAGAGAGATGTACTTCATGGATAAATAAACGTTGGTATATGTATAACCGTATATTTATTGTATGGATAAATGTACTGAATACGTGAATAAATAGCTTATATTGGTTATTGAAACATGAACGTCATATACTGTCGAGTTAAAGCTGTATTGCTGATTTAAAGGTACCGATAGGTCATATCGGGGTAAAAAGTGGGGTAATGTGTATTGATGAGTGAAAAAATGATTCTCTGTGTCTGTCTGTCTGCCCCTCTCTCTCTCTCTCTCTCTCTCTCTCTCTCTCTCTATCTATCTATCTATCTATCTATCTATCTATCTCTATCTATCTATCTATTTCCCTGCCTTTGTCTGCCCCCGTTTCTATCTCTTTCTGTCCTCCGTTTGTCTGTCTTTTTGTCTATTTGTCTGTCTGTCCGTTTGGGGAAATGGGGAAGTGGGGGTGTGGGGTTGTGGGTAAGTTTGAAAGGATTGGATACAAATACAAAAGCTTTACTAATTGTAAAATATGATACTCGGTATCGTGACACATCAGTAAATAAGAGGATTGAAAACAAATCATTGTCTGTATGTCTCTCTCTCTCTCTCTCTCTCATTCTCTCTCTCTCTCTCTCTCTCTCTCTCTCTCTCTCTCTCTCTCTCTCTCTCTCTCATTCTCCCTCTCTCTCTCTCTCTCTCTCTCTCTCTCTCTCTCTCTCTCTCTCTCTCTCTCTCTCTCTCTCTCTCTCTCTCTCTCTCTCTCTCTCACTCTGTCTCTCTCTCTCTCTCATTCTCTCTCTCATTCTCTCTCTCTCTCTCTCTCTCTCTCTCTCTCTCTCTCTCTCTCTCTCTCTCTCTCTCTCTCTCTCTCTCCTCTCTCTCTCTCTCTCTCTCTCTCTCTCTCTCTCTCTCTCTCTCTCTCTCTCTCTCTCTCTCTCTCTCTCATTCTCCCTCTCTCTCTCTCTCTCTCTCTCTCTCTCTCCTCTCTCTCTCTCTCTCTCTCTCTCTCTCTCTCTCTCTCTCTCTCTCTCTCTCTCTCTCTCTCTCTCTCTCTCTCTCTCTCTCTCTCTCTCTCTCTCTCTCTCTCTCTCTCTCTCTCTCTCTCTCTCTCTCTCTCTCTCTCTCTCTCTCTCTCTCTCTCTCTCTCTCTCTCTCATTCTCTCTCTCTCTCTCTCTCTCTCTCTCTCTCTCTCTCTCTCTCTCTCTCTCTCTCTCTCTCTCTCTCTCTCTCTCTCTCTCTCTCTCTCTCTCTCTCTCTCTCTCTCTCTCTCTCTCTCTCTCTCTCTCTCTCTCTCATTCTCTCTCTCTCTCTCTCATTCTCTCTCTCTCTCTCTCTCTCTCTCTCTCTCTCTCTCTCTCTCTCTCTCTCTCTCTCTCTCTCTCTCTCTCTCTCTCTCTCTCTCTTTCTCTCTTTCTCTCTCCAGGAAAAAAAAATATTTTCATTTACTCATTCATTCATTGATTCATAAACGATGTGTTGTTTATCCTGCCACGGAATGTATCAGAAGCCACATTTTTTTTCTTTTTAGTGAACATTGATCAGTGAAAATAGAAAACCTGAGATTTACGAAAAAAAAAAACATAATTTGAATGTATGATGTTTTGCATGATTTTAAGCGCCGGCTGGAATGATGAAAGTTGAAAATGTTGCAGTGCTTGAAATACGAACACCCAGAATACGATTAGAGACTTAGTGGTGTTCATTGAAAAAAATATGTAAATAATGCAATTTGGAATTTTATGCTTGATTATCATGGCGTGGCCCGAGTTTCATCTGGTTTAGTTTTTGTGTGTTAGAATGGTGGAGGGGGGGGGGGGGTAGGGAGTGGGGGAAGTGTGTGTGTGTGTGTGTGTTGGTGTGTGTGTGCATGTGTGGGGGGTGTATGTGTGTATTTTTTT